CACAAGGCGTAATTACTATGTACTCTGCCAAGCTCACAGCATTACTTATTAGGATTCAATAGAATAATGCATATATATGAAAGCACTTAGAAATTTATGAACAGCTATATAAATGGCATTATTTTAATGATGAGTGTACCCACCAATTTAAGTTAACATCTTATTTTAAGGAACCTGCTAAAGAAAGAAATCAAGGGACAATTATTTATAGAATTTATCCCTGCATAATCACTATAGGTTCAGTGACTAAAATTTAAACCACAGGGATTAAAATATGCATCAACTTAAAAAGCTACTTCACAACTGATTTTCCAGGAAGACATTTATTACCTAAAACAAGGAAGATAAGTGAATCAGTCCACAAAATCACAATTATAAGCACATTACAATAAACTGACTGAGAAGACCTTCACCTATGTAAACAAATCAGATTCTGTGTTTACTCAGTTCCATTTTACAACTTGAGACAAAGTGCTGTGTCCCATAGTTGAAGAGGTGAACCCCTGCATGCAAGAAATACTAGCTGACTCTTGATTTTCAGGAAAAATGTGTTTATCCAATGCACAGCACAATCTGATTGGTGTAACATCTGCTAAATTTACTGCTCATGGACATGATAAAGTAGTATATGGGCTGGGATGGAGCTCAGTGATAAGAGTACTAACCTCACATGTGATTACTCAGGTTTAATGCCCAGCACAGCAGAAAAAAGCAACTTACAAAGAAACAGATTGCAAGTAGAGTGAAATGCATCTCCTTATTTGTAGTACTAGACACAACTATGAAAAGCTTCAAGATTTGTTTCGATATAGTAAATTGGTTTTCAAATCAGCAAATTATTGTATCCAAAAAGTTCCTGTCCTTGGTCTTGCCAAGTCTACGTACAAACCATCTTATTGTAAACATTACAGCAAGATTTGGCTGCCTTCCTAAAATAGGTTACCAACTTTCTGATTCTTGTTTATATATCCTTTTGTAGGTGAGAATTTTATTCAAGGAGTTCTGAAAAGCACATACTCAAAAAATTGAGCACAAACCAATTAGTTTCAAATAAATTAGCTAATGCCTCCTTTCAAATGTTACTCTATTGAATGGGCTGCCATAATCATTTAGCTTTGCACTCTGTTCTAGTAAAGAAAGGGATTGAAGCTGGAGAGGAAAAGAAAAACAAAGAAGCCAGCATTATTACAGCAGGTGAGGAGGGCTTCGGAACAAGAACATGCACCAGAAATACAGGGAGAGGTAAAAAGATACCAAAGATAAACTTTGCCAACAGTTATCTACTCTCCATTACTTCTCATAGCAAAATCTGTTACAGATAAAAGAAGTATTTTTTGGCTACATGGTTTGGGGCAATAGTTTGTTTTGCTTAATTTCACTGTTTTTTGAATTAGAGTCACTATGTAGTTCATGCTGGCACTGAACTCACTATATAGCCCTTGCTGGCCTTGAACTTACAGGGATCTTCCTGGTTCAACCTCCTCAGTGCTGGGATCACAGGTGTGCACCATGCAAGGGGGCACTATTTTCTTAACACAAACTTACTGTGAAATGTAAACTAGGGTCATGTATAAACTATAGGTTAACAGTAAGTTTGATTCAGAATATACAATAAACAAACGCAATATGATGAAAAACGTGAGGTTCACATCACCCAAATTTACTAAAAAGAACACTTAACTAGAACTTGACAACCGAGTTCCTGGTTTTGGTTTTGACCTGAACAAGTGGCTTTTAGGTTAATCACTAAGTTTTTATCAGTGTTCTTTGCCACTCAAAGAAACAAGTATCTCTTATGTGCTTTTAAAATGAGCTATTCTGGGGTTTCCTCAACCTTGAGTACACATTAAAATCAGGTGGAAAGATTGTTTTAAAAGTATCTTGGCCCCTGAGATTCCAATTTAATTGGTCTGGGGTGGGGCCCAAAGCATACATTTGAAAAGAAAACTCCCTTGCAATTTTACTGTGCATCCAGGATGGGGAACCACTGGCCTATATCATCTTTTATATAGGTGGGGAAAAACAAATACTAAAAAACAACCTCCCATTTTATTGTTTCAGCCCATTTTCTCAACACCACTCAGCTAGATTTATTAGATATAATAGCATCTTAACTCTTTTCCTTCCTCTAGTCTCTTCCCAATCAAACAAACCAGTCTACAACTGTCTGGCTACTCAGTTTGATCCTGAAACATTATCCCACTGAAAGTCATTTTAAGTAACATATAACAATATCACCAACAGAAATGTTTTCATCAAGTAGAAAATATACTGTGTTTATAGGTATGTGTACGTTTGTATGTTTATGTATAACCTCAACTACAGTTTATTTTTCTTCAATTCTGATATACAGATCTTCATTTATATATATAATGAATGCTGATGTTTCTACATCAAAAAATACTGCCCCAAATAGTTCATAGCTGAATTTTATCAAAAATAAATGACAAATGAGTCACCTACAGATACATCATTTAAATGGAAGAAAGAACAGCACAAAATTTTTCTCACTCTTAAAGTGTTGCCACAAGGAACACACAGTAAACTAAAAAAAAGTGAAATTATTTCAAGAGTTCCTATATTACTGCAGACTCTCAGACACTGATAAAGATTATAATGGGGCTAGAAGTATATAGCTCAATGGTAGTGTTTGCCTAGTATACATGATGTCCTGAGTTCCATTTTCACTCTCAGCACAAAAGGAAAAAAAGAAAGAAAGAAAGAAAGAAAGAAAGAAAGAAAGAAAGAAAGAAAGAAAGAAAGATGGAAAGCTTTGATATCAGAAAAGAAAAGAAAAGAAAAGAAAAGAAAAGGAAAGGAAAGGAAAGGAAAGGAAAGGAAATAAAAGATTTTGATGAGTGAATGTTTACCAAGAGCAAATATGGTTCTGGACTGTGTTGCAGCTTACCTCAGAAAACCAAGACTTAAAAGCCAAAGGTTATAACCAAGTAAGATGACATTCATATTTACAAGAAATATCAAATACAATAAAAGGAAAATAGAATGAGAAGACTAAACAAGTATATGGCTTTTCTCTGCTTCCAAGGGCTCTGTCTTTTTAGAGACAGCAAGACAGAGACACAAAAAGAAAATAAAGTCAGCACTGCCAACTGGAAAAGAGAATAAATATCATGGGAATTCAAAGAAACAAGAGACTGCTATGGACTAAGGGAGTTGGAGACAGCTTCTTGGAAGAGATGGAGCTTGAACAAAAAATTAAGTAAGTGGAGAGAAGAAAGCATTCCCAAGGATGTAAATAATCGTGTTACAAAGATGAGACAAAATTGCACAAAATACTGTATGTGAGGAACAAGGGACTGACCTAGTTGGAAGAGAAGATTCTGTTTAGGAGGGTTTGTAGAGACAAGGTTGCAATAATAAAGGAGAACCATACAGTGAAAGCCCTGAATGCCAAACAAGGATGCTTAACTTTGTCCCGCAGATTAGAGGATCTTTCATAGGCCATAAAGAACAATAAGGAAAAAACATACTTCTAATGATGCAATTTGAAGCCATTTTTCCTAAAGTCCTTGAAGAATATATCAAGCAGTATAATACAGTATCTTGACAACAGAATCACAAACATGTGAGCAAATTATTTAGGAAATGTGGTGAAGGTGAAGGAATAAACAGTCAAATGTGCTTTCCAAAATACAAAACCAGGTATTGACTACGCATTTATAGATCTTAGGAAAATGTCTAAGACAATCGCTGAATAGAAAGCTTTGATATCAGGTTTTCCTCCTTTCTCCATCCTTTTCCAACACACATACCTTCCTTTATCTCTACAAACAGAATATACTGAATTTGTCCCGTCTTGAAGAAAAGGTATTTTACTACTGTTTACCATGGGTGAATCTACTTACCACATTCTTTCAAAATCACTAGATCTATCAAAGTAATTTTTCATGATTTATTTCAGCACAGTAAATGAAACAAACATAACCAGCAAATTTAAAGATTATGAAAAGCAAAGAACCCTTTCAGCAAACCAAAACACAGTTAAAATAAGCAACACTGATTTATAAAGCAGAGGGGAATGACAAGTGTGTTCCTAACAAAAAATGCCAGCCACAACAAAGACTAACCGAGAATATATGAAAAACATTGCAATAGCCAATTTCTTAACTAAAATGACAAGCCATTAACTCACGACTCCATAAAGAATGGAGTTAATGTTTTTTTTTTTCAAAAAATGCCCTTAAAATTTTTGGCTCTTCTATAAAAATAATGACTCTAACATAACTCAAAACAAGGATTATCTTCCCTTGTAACCAGTCACGTAACGTGATTGATAATTTAATTTGCTACTAAAGCAAACACTAATTTAACCACCACTACCTTCTCAACACTAGGAAAATTAAAAATCTCAGTCTTTAAAGGCATATGTGACAAGAAGGAAACCAACAATATCCTAGAATGGTTAAACCACATGCAAAATAAGAACACAGACAAACCATGGCAATACTGTTGTATTCCTACAAGGGCTAAGCCATTTCTGCAGGTTCCTATGCCTTTAAGGAAAATACTTTATGCATTGTCTCTTCCCCAACCCCCAACCCACAGAAAAGATGGAAACATCCAGGAGAGTTGAAAGAAGTGTGCTAAGGAAGGTGTCAATACCTCCCTCCCACCCATGCCAGGAAACTCGCTTTAACAATAATGCTCTCATTCCTAAGGTTCTACCCAGTTTCCCACACATCTTTCCCACACAGCCTTCCCCCCCAAACACACACACACACACACACAAACACACACACACACAGAGTCTCTCATACACTCACATCTTTCCCACACATCCCCCCCCCCCCCAAGCCCCCAGTCACACACCCCTATTCCTTGCTCTGCAGCTCGACTTCAGGAGAATAGACTGCTCGGACTTTGGCGATCTCGCCGCCCCCGAGAGCCCGCCCAGAACAGCAACAACGTGGCCACGCAGCCACCCACCACCCCAATCTCATCCCCCGCAGCACAGCTTCCCTTCCCCCCAGTACTGTCACCTGCTTCGGTGGTGTCAGTCAGATCGTAGCCGCCGCCCGGGAAGTCTCGGAGTTTCCTGCCACTGAGGCTCAGAATGCCAGAGTTGCTCGCCTCCTCCAGGGCCCGGTCCAGGCTTCTCACCGTGTGTTGAGGCTGCAGGCTGCTTGGGTTCCACTGAGGCCCATTGGGGAACGGCTGACCGAAAAGAGTCGGTACTGGGATGGGCACCACCAGGGTCCCGCCACTGCTGCCACAGTTGCCGCCTCCCCCTCCGGCCCCGCCACCTCCTCCTCCTCCTCCGGCTGAGCCACTGCCACCGCTACTTCCACCTCCACCACAACCGCCGCCCCCACTGTTCCCACCACCTCCCTGACTCGCCGCCATGTTCCTGGGAGAGAGAATAGCCCCCGACAATACTCTGAGCCTGTGCCGCCAGTGTAGGGGATTCTTAGGACGCATGCGCAGTCTGGGGGCGGGTGGAGGGGCGAGGTAGAGGGGGGAAGGAACCAGTGGGCGGGCTACTAGGAGGTGTTGAATTGGGAAGAGACGATGTTCGAAAGTGAAGCATATTTGTTTTTTTCTTTCTTTCTTTCTTTTTTTTTTTTTTTAAGTGTTACCAGAGGAAGGATGCTAAGTCCCAGTTCCTCTACTTTGAACACCAAGATGTTGCGAAGCGACACCAAGCTGACTATAGGTCCCTGGGTGATAAGTCCCCAACTCTCTTAACTTGTGTCATCTTTTTTGTTCTACAAAACAAAAACAAATATATGCGATAAGGTTGATAAGGGATTCACTTCAGAATGTATAGAAACAGCTTTCCAAAGAGCTATGAGGCAGCTTGCTGAGAAACTTACTGTAAATGTCTCAGGAACAGAAAGAAACGCTGGGGAGTCATTTGGAGAGGGAAATTAGTACAGTATCAAGTTTTAGGCATACATGAATTTTGCTATCGTGTAGCATTGCAAAGTAGGAAAAAACTAGATGTTTTCAAGGAAACCTCTCTTTAAAACGTGTCAAGCGTTTCAGACAAACTACTGCCTTGTAAAACTTGGAAGAGTTCTCTCCACATTTTGTTCTATCACTCTTGGAAGCTGTGCCAAGATCTCCAGATATCTTCAGTGTTTTCTCATTAAACCAGTATTGGGTAATTAAAAATGCTTTGATCGTCGATCCTTAAGATCGCTTGTGAAATACAGGTTTTGGTTGAAATGAAATTCTGAAGATTTAATGCTGAGTATGCCAAATCAAACTTGGATTTTAGTTCTGTTCTTGATACCTGAAAACATATGCAATGTAGAGGACAAAGAGAGATGGAAGTTGACAGTCCTTTATCAGGCACTCATGACCTCCAAAATCCAACCACAAGCTATCTAGTCAGGTTTATCACCCGTCTCTTTAGACTACCATGCTTCTACCCATCTCAGAGCTCTATTCTCAGTCACAGTCATTCAAGTCTTTCACTAATATTCAGTAACTTGCTAATGAAAAGTATCAGAATGTTTGGATGTATTCATTTATCATAAATTTCAACTGTATGTACCTTTTAAAATTGAACAATGTATCAACAGTCTCATTTTCTTAGAGAAGTCACTGGCATGCAAAAATTTGTTATAAGCAATACTTTATGAAACAACACAGGAAACAATTACAGTTTGTCTAAATTTCTTTGTGGCCGTATTGGTTAATAAAAATGATCATGTTGTGAAAAATTCCATCCACCATATTCAAGAGCTACAAAAGAACAGAACTGAAAATCATTCTATATAGTGAATCAGCAAGTGAAAATAAATTATTAAACCCCAACTGATGTGAAAAGGGATTGTACCTTATAGTTCACCTCTCATATTTCATATAAAATTAAGTACTGACTGATAACTTCTTAAAAGAAGAAAAACAGAAACTAAATTAATTACAGAAAATACGTGGAAAGGAAATATTTTAGTAATGAGCCAGGGGCGGAAAGTGTAGTTCAGTAGAAGGATACCTGCCTAGTGTGAGTGATGTTGTGGGTTCAATCTTCAGTACCCAAAAATAAATAAGATAAATAAATAAATAAATAGCCAGCAAAAATTTTTGCAGCCATGTAAAACAATGTACCATACTCCAGGAAAAAGACATCCTGAGAGGCAGTAAACTTGTCAAGTGGAGAAAAGCCATATATAAACAAATTTAAGAAAGAAAATAATCTTTCAAAGAAATGAAAGATAGTCTAAGGAAGAAAAATGGAAAGCGTACAAAGTAATCTAGGTATGCCTGAAAATCAGGCAAAAATAGCATTTTGTAGAACTCTTTAGCAAGGACACCAAAGTCAAAAGAATTAAAAGATTTAGAAGAAAGGCATGAAGTTTAGAAGTTTGCTCCAATCCCTTAGCTCCCTGTGATATTTTGAAAAATGACTTAAAATATTTGTACTTCAATTTCTGTAGGTAACACTGGAAAATAATAATATTCAATAATAATAACGTTTAAATAGAACTTACTATTTGCTAGGAACTCTTCTAAGTATATTAAGTAAATTGAGTCACTGGATCTTCCTAATATTTCTGTAATGTATCCATATGTATTATAGATGAGGGAAAATAGTACGTTCCTCATATAAAGAAATATAAATGAGGTCACCTATCTAAAGTAATAAGCACAATACTTGACATTAATTTCATGAAATTCTTTTTTGTTTTCTGTTGTTTGTTTTTTGGTACTCAAGATTGAACTCACGACCTTGTGCTTGCCAGGTAGGTGTTTGTTTGGCTGAACTAAATCCCCAGCACACATTCATTCATTTCATGAGCATTTATTGAACAATTACTCTGTGCAAGAAACTGTTCTCCATGTAGGTAATATTACATAGTATTAGGTACTTATAAGTATTAATCTTTCTTCTCTCAAAAAATAAAATAACACATAAAATATAGGAAGTGAACTTCCTGATAATTGTAGGAAATGAGTTATCTGATATGTTGCATAAATCCTTTCTTTGTCTGTATCAGAGGACATTTTATGGTGATTACCCCTTTAATGTTATCCCAGAAATGATGTGTTGCTGATTTGTTAAGTTAGGGCCAATATTCAGAATTATTTAAGCCATATATGTATAATTGATATTGATAAGTCATCCAGACTAGGTGACATATGTCAAAAATTATAGAAGGAAAGCAAGGAGATGGTAAGAAAATTTTGAACAACATATATGTTCTGCGTCAAAACACTTTCAAGCTGCAAATGTAATTTCTATTCAAAACAGCTCAAGAGGACTTCTGAACTTCCAGGCCAATTAAAGTCAACTTAGTCCAAATAAGCTGGTAGTTCCTCAACAGTTATAAATAATATAGAGTAGAAAAGTCACAGCTGAATGGCCAAAGCTACAAATTGTTCTATTAAAGATCAAGATCAGTGGGCTAAGAATACAAGATGTTCTTTCCAGTCCATGAATAAAGCAAACATAAAATATATTTTAATACAGCATCTAGGACAAGGCAATAAACTAATAGCTCAACTTATAATATGAACATTTTTAAATGCCGATCAGGATTCAGGAAAGAATGATGGGAATCTCTGGTGTCTTTCCCCAAAACTTAGCTCTTTCTCCTGAATTAAGTTCTAAATTCAAGAGAAAGAACTAAGAAGTGTAGCTCAGTGATAGAGTATTTGCCTGACATGTGTGAGGCCCAAAATTCTTCCCAGAACATATAACAAATAAAGCTAAATTCAGAGCAAAAATAAGGAGCAATGAAATATTAAGTATCATTAAAACATGTATCAGGCCAAATACAAGGGCACACACCTTGTAATACACTTCTCAGGAGTCTGAGGCAAAACTATCAGACCAAGGTCAGCCTAAGAAATTTAGAAAGAACTTGCCTCAAAATAAAATTCAGAGCAGGGAATTTTGATCAGCCTCATAAGCACCTGCCTGGCAAGTGCAAGGTTGTGAGTTCGAACCCTGGTACCAAAAAATAAAGTTAAATAAGACTAGATCTATATAGCTCAGTGGTAGGGACCCTCTAGGCTGGATTCCCAGTACCACAAAAAACGCATCAGAAGCCCAAAAGACATTTATCCCATATTAAACTATTTTGCAGCTGCAACTAGAAAGAGATGTGTAGTTCTATTCACTCCAATCTCAACACCAGGCCTTAGAAGGCCCTGAGAAGTGCATGCAAAATGATTAGACAAGCGAACAAGTAACTTGCTCAGTTTCTTTTAAAGTTCCTGTTCTGGAATTGATATTCTAAGTAGGCATCCATCACCTTGAGAAAGCCAGAAAGAGCCACTAACCCAACACCTATAAGAAAAATCCTGTTCTGTGTTCACGCCCACATGCTACATGACTTGCTTCCCCATTTGATCCCAAGTTAATCAATTTTACCTAAGCAATTACACTTATAATCTTATTGGTAGACCATAGATGTGTCTCCCTGCATGCCTGCCTTGCAGTTTTCCATTTTTCCCCATTTTGCACCCACCTCACCTTGTGGATTTGCTCTGTAAACATTGATAGAAAAGGCAGGGTCCCTGGCAACCCACTCAGCACCCTTTCTGTCTTTCTCTTGGACAGAAGCTTTCTTTCCCAATAAATATATTTTTCTCTTAACCTTTGTTGTTCCTAAGCTTGTAGAGAATACGAAATTATACCAGATATCTAGCAGTGTGAGAGTCTCTTTACCCTATATCAATGACTTCATCAATTTTAAACATCAGATTTTTAGCTCCTTTTCTAAAACTTCTTCAACTTCAGTGTCTGAGACAAGGTTTTGAGCTATTAAGAATTTTTATAGTATCTTTTTACCCTGTTTTTTCCTGTTCTTAGTGCTTTGTGCTGATGCTTATAGATTGGATAGAGTAGAAAATTCTTTCATTACTGTATAAATTTCTTTAGTAAAAATGTTTCCCTGTTTTGTGACCTTGGTTTTGACTTTCATGCATCTATTCACCATAATGAACATATTAGGATTGATTCTAGTCAGTGTGTTGTAGTGAAAAAGTAGATACTGGTTATATCAGTATCTGAAGAAGCAAATATTGACATAATTTAAAAATTATTTTCAAAATTTCACACTTTAATAACAGAGGAAGGCAATAAAATATTTCTGATTAAGAATAGGCTGAATGGGGCTGGGGATTTAGCTCAGCGGCATAAGCGCCTGCCTTGCAAGCAGGCAGTCGTGAGTTCAATCCCTGGTACTGATAAAAAGGAAGAAGACAAAAAAAAAAAAAGAATAGGTGGAATATAAGGACAAAAAAAGAGAAAGAAATAACATAGAAAATATTTCAGAAATAAGAAAAGAAGAACAAAAACATGACAGCAAAGAAAGTAAAGAGAATTTTTGCTGTATAATTTTATGTCTGGAATTGAGCAAGGGTGGAGGAGACTTAAGCATTCGTTAGTAGATGCAAGAGTGAAATATAAATGGAGAAGCT